TTTGTTTAATTGCCAGAGTTCTTAGAAAACTGATTCTAACCATTGTAATTTCTCATTACTTTTAAGGAGGAGAGTGTTTGCATAGACCTTTATTTCACCATTTCACTGACATCACGTTTCTTTCTTCTAACCGTTGCATTGTATTCCATTGCATGACCTTCATATCATTTCATTGTTTTCATAATATACTTTCCCAATATATTTATATGAAAAATGTTGAATCTTCAGAAATTTCAGAATAGTGCAAGCACCCACACACCCTTCACCTGGCTAGATTCACCGGGTGCTAATGTCGGCCACCTGTTCTTCCTTCCTCTGAACCATCTGAGACTTGGCTGCAGAGGTCAGGGCAGCTTTACCCTCAAAGACGAGTATCTCTCAAGAACCCTGACACTCTCCTTTATGACCTTATAATGATCACAGTCAGGCTACTGAACATTGCCACAAAACTGTAATCTATATGCCACGTTAAAATCCCCCAGAGAACTGAGAATGCCTGAAAACACAGGCATGTCTCTGTCCAGAGCTGGAACGCCAGGCAGAATCGTGCCGAGTGTCGTCTCCGGCCAGCTCTGGGGGAGGCGGCCACAGGCCTGCGTGCTGCTGTCACGTGTGAGGAGTTTCTGAGGGTACGAGACGCCTCGTCTGCAGGGGAGGGGTTCACTGTGTTGCTTTTCTTATTTTAGCAGGTGAGATTACCTAAATGTTCCTCATTTAAGAAAAGATTAAATGAAGGAACAATTCTGTCAAATTTCAGAAACAAATCAAAACCAAACAGAATAAAATCGTCCCCCCAAATTTTCTTCTGGAGTGTCCTGATAAATCTTCCTGAGGGTACATGTCAAACAATACCTTCAAGCGGCGTGACATGCTGACCCACCCATGGCAAGGCATGTACCACAGACACACACACACACACACACACACACACACACACCCTTTCTGATGTCACATAACTGCAATGGCAGGGCAGTGTCTCATTTCTAGTGCGTCAGTCTCAGAGACGAGTCCTCTGAAAGACGCTTTTGTAACCTTATGACTGAGCAAAGGTGAACTCGCAATGTAGTAAATGTCAGTTCATGCCAACTCATCCACCAGTTACAATTTTTTTAACATAATTTCCTAATACAGCAGGTCCCCAGATAATGTTATGATCAATGTCGTTTTGTTATAAGGTTGATGAAATGCTGTGGGAACTTAACTCTTGTTTGAATCGATTAGCCTATGGTAAAAGTGGTTTCACTGTACACTGTTTCACTTAAAGTCACAGAACCTCTTGACAGCATTAAGTGAGGACTTACTGCACACAGCTCCAAGCAAATGTCCACCTCAGCCAGCATTTCTCAGGGTGCGAGCCATGGGCCACCCACATCAACATGTGGAACTCATTCTGAGTGCTGGATCCCAGGAATGTGCATTTTCAAAAGTGTCCCAGGTTATACAAAGCACATTTATATTTGAGAACCACTGAGCGAGGCTTTAACCTGAAATTAACTGAAGCTTCATGGGGAAAACTCTGTGGAATAAGAATCAGCTTTGCAAACTGATATGTACTGTTTTCTGTAGCAATGGCTTTTACATATTTTGACCAAAGCCCTTACAAAGGAATGTTATATATTATGACACAGAACACACACACAGAAATTAAAAATTCATGAAACAATATTTATCCTTACATACTTGTGATGCATTCTGATATATTTTATCCACTGTAGCTCAATTTTTAAAAACACTAAACAGAACTCCCTGAATCTATTTCACAATCCTCTAATGAATCACAAACTACAGTTTGCAAAACACTGTAATCAACCGAGAAGCAAAGCTCAACTGAGGGAGCACGAACCAAGTGAGTGAAACATCACACGTAGTCATCAAGTGGGATTTTTAAGAGATATTCTTAAAATATATACATTTAGCTGGATTTAGAACAGTTTAATCATGATACTGATATCCAAATGAAAGAAATTTCATTTAGCCTGATTTCAAATCTTATTACTGTCAACTAACAATTAACAATTAAGGGTTTTAGGATGGAGTACATTGGAGTAAAAATTGGGTGCGATTTTAAGACTGGGAGTCCTGGTAAATTCACACACGAGGCTGAGGACCTGGCCCTCCCACGTGTCAGAGACAGCAGCCTGAGTAACAACCTTGCTAAGGCTCAGTTATTTTTATCTATGAAATGGGGCCAGTAACAACCCCTATCTTGTAAGGTTGCTGTGAATATTAAATAAGATCACCTACACAAATAATGACGATTATTATTCAAAGATAAGATGCATTTGAACAGGAGTTATACCATCTTAAAAGAATGATAAAATGATTAAATGAAGCTCCTTATATAACTTTTCACTCAGATTACCACGTGTACAAATTTACTGTAAGCTGGTATTATCTCTCTCTCGATAAACACTGAACAATTTCCGAAGAAAGCACTCCACTAAGTGCTGGAGTTACAAAGAAGCATGTGATATGGCACCACTGATTAAGCAGCTTGTCACCCAGTTAGGGCAATAGGAAGAAATGTAAACACCAAATCATATGCCAAGTGCCAAATGTAACAGGTGCTTAAAGGGACTATAGTTCAGAACGTGGCGGACTGGAGGTCAGAAAGAGCTCCAGAGGCGTGGCCCCAGGTGGAGATGGAAGGGTGGGGGGTTTGAGTAAGTAGAAAGGAGGGTGGAGAAAACATCGAGTGGGAGAGAATAGTGGGAGCGAAGACAAGGGAGGCCAGCTATGCCCCCAGTGTGGCTGGGCACCGTGAGTCATCAGGATAGAGTGAGAGGTAAGAGCCAGTTTGGGTGCCAGGCCCGGGCCATGGGAATTTGACTCAGGCTGGCTGCAGAGAGCGAAACATTCCTAGGAGAGGTGGCTCGATCAAAGCAACACAATGGAGGGGGCAGGACATGTCCCAAGGCAGCAGGGACATCAACCCTGCAAATGTCACTAGTTTACAGTTAAGAGGACACCAATGCAAAAGATGGGGTTCCAATAAATTTTAGGCCAGCGTTCCTATAGTGCCTCTTTAAAGCACTGCTCTCTGGCACAAAGTTATCTCCACGAAGTTTTAAGTAAATGATCCCTATCCTCAAGTGATATAACTTCTTGTTCAGATTCTATTCATTCTTTGCTTATAACCCAACCTCTGATTGAGAAGTCAGCTTGCTGGGTAATGGATATGGTAAAGCATGCCTCGGTAATGAGCCCTTAAGCACTCTAGTCATGACTAAACTGGCTACTCATCCACCAGTGTAAATTTGGCTGTATGTATCTATCAGCAAACGTCTGGTCCTTTAATGTCGTGGGAAGGCACCAGACCCAATGGGACTGAGCTTCTCGATCCTGGCTGCACATTAGTGACACCTGGATAGCTAGCTACTCAAAAAACCTCAGAAGGGGCAGCTGGCGGCCGTCAAGGCCTCTCACAAGCAGCCCCTGGGGTGGACCGCCACTTTCTCAGGCAACGGCTTTCCATTCTGGCTGCATGTTAGAATCACCTGGGAAACCTTAAAAGGATCGGTGCCCAGGGATGGACACTTCCAGAGATGACAGAAACTCTCCACTATGCAGAGGACGTGAGTTCTAACAGCTCATGCTCCTCATTCCTAAGCAGAGATGAAAAGGATACTGCAATGCATCGCAGTTGAGAGGTTTCTATTTCACTTACATTTAGGATATTCCCCTATTTTACTCTTTGATTTCCCTTCAACAGAGGCCATCGCTTTAAGCTGTTACTAGTTTTAAACTCAAGTGCTAACTGATTTAAAACAGAGGTGAGCAAACTTTCTCTGTGAAGGACAGGTAGAGAGTTTAGGCTGCGAGTCTCACAGTCTCTGTCCCCACCCCTGAACTCTGCAGGAGTGCCACAAAGCACCGTAAGTAACGTGCAAACCGATGAGCGTGCCTGTACTCCAATAGAAACTTCTCCACCAAAAGAAGTGGACAAAATTTTGCTAGTGGAGTGCCTCAGAATCTTTGGATGATTATAATTAGCATTCTGATCTTATGCCCAATGATACAAAATTAGTAACAAAGCATGAAAATAAATACCAAAAGTGTGTTCAACCTTGGAATCTTATCCTTTGACTATCACCTTACTACTATTTACCAGAAATTCAACAGAAGCCCTGTTTATACCTAGACCATATGTACCTCCCCGGACTCTCTCTGCCACTAAGGACTAGTGACGGCCCTCCAAGCTTCCCTTATGGAGGGGCTACTGCCCCCACACCCCCAACCTCGATGATTCAACCAAAATTCTGCAAACCTCCTTGGCAAACCCCAGGGGATTGTGGCAGAGCTGTCCCAGCTTCCTCACTAGTAGAAAATGCCATAGATATTTATTAAATAAATGCTTGTATGTTTGTTGTGGCAGGGAAACATCCATCTCTGCTGGCTGTGGATGCATTGTTTTCCCCATACAACTCATCAATGGGGTATAAACATACAACTCTAAGTCTAACCTTTTGGTGAAGTAATTTCTGTTCAACTGGGTAGATTTAATTAAGGATCCTGCCATCACTTCTGACATCCCCCGATATCTCAAAATGCATAGCAAATGAAAGTCAGAGGGGCAGGCCGTCTGCTGAGTGGATCTCACTCTCAGCCTTACAAGCTGTGGCTGAGACGGAGCCACCGCACAGCTGTGCCCGTCCGAACTCCTGCTCTGGCATCGAGGCCGCACCTCTGCAGCGCTGAGAGTGAAGACATGCAGTGTTGCGGAAGCCCAGAGGAGCCTGTTCCCTACCCTGGCGCTCAGGGAAGTTTATCTCAAAGTCACTATCGACACCGTGCACAGTGAGGACCTGTGTCAGGCAGGCGGTCTCCCGGGGAACGAGAGAGCAGAATTCTCCCTACACACGGTCAGCAGCAAGCCAGTCTCATAGCTGACCCACAGTGTTAAGGGAAAAAAAAAAACAAACTGAAGCAGGAGTTTCAGCTGGGGATGTGTCTGAGCTCAGGTGCCATGACGCCGGGTCACGGCTCCACATCGTACTTACTTGGAGGTGTTTTCAAGTATTCCCTTGACCTCGTTCATGTCTTCTTTCCCAAAGTAAACAACCGTGAGATGAATTCTCCCATCCTGCTGGATGCACGTCTCCCTAGAAAACAGAACACATGTGTGTCTGGACCTGTTTTCCCAACGATGGGAAAGGCCCAATCAATACCTGTTTGGTAAAGTGCACAGGAGTTTGAAGTCAACTGAGTGACTTGTCAGGAGGGCCGAGATGGGGCATTTCTGGCTGGCTAACACAATTACCTGTATTTGTATTTATCTCACCAAGAAACAATGAAATTTAAATGGGTGAACCTAGTAAATGAAAACCCAGAGGCCACACGTCCAATCTGCCGTAGGCCATGCCCATCGGGACCATCCAGGGTCGTGAGATGGGCACTGACCCTGCCTTCTCTGCCATTAGAAGTCTAGGACATAAAGAACACATACACTCTACTTTCCAGATGAGCAAGCTAAAGTCCAGAGAGGGGAAGACTAGAATCCTTGTCTGTGACGTTTCTCTTGTGTGCCAAGCCCTCTTAAAGACTGGATGCGTGAAGCTAAAGAAACATTCTTTCTTGTAAGAGTGTAGAAATCTTTGGTGACACCCGGGGGGTGGCTGTCCGAAGGCATGATAAAGCAGAAGCACAGGTGCTGTCTGTCATCCTCCCCAGGGGGGTACCTTCACTATACACCCCCATGTCTCCTCTCTGTGATTGTGATTGTCCCAGGCTCCTGGCACTTCATGCGGCAGGGTCCCAACAGCCCTCTCAGGGCCAGGTCTCTGGCTCTGGATTGGTCTACACCTGCTTTCCCCAGCAAAGCGGACGTTAATTAGCCATGTCCTGTGCTCTCACCGGTAACCCCCAGCTAGCGTGGAACGATCCGCTGCTCTGTGCGTACTATGTGTGTACATGTATATGCAGACATGTGTGTGAGTGTATATGTGTAAATATACATGTAGTAAACATGTGTTTATGTATGTGGGCCTATGTATAAATATGCATGTATGTGTGTGCATAATTTTAATAGGTGATTTCTGGAAGCATGTTCATGGAAAGATTCTACTGGTGAGATGACATTTTTTGATACTTTGATATTTTGCACGTCCATTTTATTGCTTTTGTCACTATGTTGCCTACTTTCCTTAGCCCCCAAACAACGATCCACACCGTAGCTTTCCAGAAAGCCCTGAGCTCTAATTGCAGAGGCCAGTTTATTTAAGGCACTTTACAATGAAATAAAAAAAGGAGTGATTGTCTAGCCAGGATGGCTGGGAGAAGTCCAAAGAAACAGATGATTTAGTTCCTGACCTCAAAAAACTTATAGAAGAAATAATACGAGCTCAAAGAAAATAAGGACACCTCATGGCACTGGTAAAAACTAAAGAGAACTCAGAAAGCACAGGAAATTCGGTGGGCGGGGGCCTTGAAAGGTAGAAAGGGTTTAAAAAGGCAGAGGGGAGGACAGAGAGAGTCCGGGTGGAAGAAATATGAGGGGAGATTATATTGACTGTGGGCAGAGGGCATGCAGGGCTCCCCCTGCTCACAGGCTTGGTTCTGAGAGTTCTGTTTATTTCCTGCTGAAGAAAGGTAAGGGCTGCCTCTGAAATTCAGACTGATGGCAGAGCTCTTAAAAGCAGACAAGGGACCAATAACAAATGCCCAGGATGTGACAATGTGCTTCAAACTGAGAGCTCCCTCAGAGCCCCAGTCCCTGCAGACTGAATGGTCACCTGCGGACAATAAAATTCTCTGTGCATAAACGATCCCTTTTGCACACTTGCCAGGTAGAAGAAAAGAACATACACAGCACCAAGCTCCAGAAAAACTGCTTTGAATGGTGTGTGCAATTACAAAAAATCCACCCCAGAATCATTAGAGGTGTTACCCACTGAGCCTGAATAAAAAAGTATTCTCGTTTTTTTTTTTCTGGGAACATCTTTGCTGGCATTTTAAAATCCATTCAAAGCACTTCCTGTTTTCAAGCAATAAAACAGATACATTGGACCTTGACTCTGCATTCACCAGCTGAGGCCTCCCCAAAAGCAAAGCAGAATTTGCTCAGAGGTCCACTCCAGGGTTTCATTTCTTCCTTCCTTCCTTCAACAAACAATAACCAAACAAACAACACACCATGTGCCAAATACTCTACCAGGGGAGCTTAAAAAATAAGACATTTCTGCCCTTGAGAAATTTTCCATATTATGCATGACTGAAACTGTCTGTAAAGCAATAAACAAATACTCAATGAGAAATTGAGCGTAGTACTACGGAAACATCACTCTCTGTCTGAATGGTCTTGTCATGTTTGTATTTTTCCAAAGAGTTCTCCCTAGACTTCAGCCCAACGATGTGAATGAGAAAGAATGTGTATGTGGGTTACCATGTACATGCTGCCGTCTGTGGTTTGCTCTGATTATTTGTACCTGGACACAGCCTGCCTGGATCCCTCAAGCTAATTTTCTTGTGCAAAGCATTACTCTAGTCTAGCATCAAATTTTAAAAGAATAAGAATGTATGGTCCCTGTTGGGGAGCCAACCATCCAGTTTGCCTGGGACTCTCCAGGTTTTAGCACTAAAATCCACATCCCTGGAAACTCCTCAGTCCCGCGCAAACAGGACAACTGGTCACCCTCCCTGTCTCAGAGACTTCACGGTGTATTGGAAGACATGGACAGTTGAAGCGCTATCATACAAGGCAGGATGGAATAACTTCAGGGAAACTAGGGTGGTCTACAAAGGGTATTTACCTTTGAAAATATAATGCTTTCAATAAATTAATTTCAAAAAGTGATCATTGCAAACCATATATCAAAATGTGGAAAAGAACAAAAATCTTGCTACCAATAAATGACCAAATAAAGGGACATACTTTTCTGCCTTAAACATCACAAAAAGGAGGCCAAGAAGAGAAACGGAAGATTCTGTTTCAGCTGCATGCGGCTCCCAGAGGAGCCAGAGAAGCAGGGCTGGGAGAAGGCAGCCCCGGGGGAACGGCTGGTCTGGGGAGAGACAGGAGCCCCAGCTCCCACTGCAGCGTCTCGGCACAGGAAGAGCCACAGTGGACATTTGGTCTCTCCACATCACACGGAAAGTTGAGAGGGAAGAAAGAACTATCCTAATTATGCTGTGTGAAGTGACCCCTGCAAAAGAGGTAGTAGACTTGGCAGAACCAAAGGACAAAAGACCATCACATTGAGTCAAGATCTGTCCTGAGAGCAGGAAGAGGAGAAGGGATGAGAGATGCTAACAGCCAGATGAAGCATCTTAGACATGTCTCCCCTTGACACACGCGAACCTCTAAGGGAGCCAAAACCTTACCATTTCTCCTCTTTTTGACTTGTGGGAGTTTTCGAAAGAGCTGCTAAAGACAACAGTAAATGAGATGAGAAGGAAGCAGATGGGGCTGATTCTCTCTGACGTCTCAGAGACGTCAGCCCTTACCTGAGGACCCCTTTTAAGAGCCGAATAAGCCACCCCTCAGGGAAAAGATCCCTCCGCTATTAAGCAGAGTGAGCCGGTGCCGCTCACAGGTCCATCCTGGGACTCGGAAGAGCCACAGGAATCGGGAACCTCCAACAGAGGCTGCACAAAGCTTCAGCCAGTGCCTGCTCCCCTCTCCTTGTTCTCAAACTACAAATGAAGTAAACAGAGCAGTGAATACCCTGTCCTCCGAATACAGCTAGGAGTGGGACGCAAACAGTTCTCAGTCCAGACACAGAGGCAGCCACGAGGAATCCACCCCTAAGTCAGAGCAAACGGTCTGGGTGGCCTCTGTGTGCCATAAGAAGAGGGATGAAGACAAACATCACAGCTACCATGTTTCAAGAATAACAACCAAATTAAAGGAAGAAAGAGAAAGAGAATTAAGAATGCAATAGTGTTCAAAAACCCAATGAAAAACCTAGTCTGAAAGAAAATACAACTCAAATAGAACAAAATGTCTTACAAATGGTTCACGGTTTCTTAATAAAATGTGAATTCAATTTTAAAAAGTTCAAAGAAGAGCACCAGCTGGAGTAGCTCAGTTGATTGGGCATCATCCAGCAAACCAGAAGGTCACTGGTTCGATTCCTGGTCAGGGCACGTGCCTGAGTTGCAGGTTCGGTTCCCAGTCAGGGTACACACGAGAGACAACTTATCAATATTTCTCTCTCACATCGATGTTTCTCTCTCTCTCCTCTCCCTCCCTTCCCCTATCTGTATAATAAAAAATAAAATAAAATTTAAAATGTTCAAAGAGGCCCTGGCTGGTGTTGCTCAGTGGATTGAGCACAGGTCTGCGAACCAAAAGGTCACCAGTTCGATTCCTAGTCAGGGCGCATGCCTGGGTTGTGGGCCAGATCACCAATACAGAATACTTGAGAGGCAACCACACACTGATGTTTCTCTCCCTCTCTTTCTCCCTCCCTTCCTTTTCTCTACAAATATATAAATAAAATCTTTTTTAAAAATGTTCAAAGAAAAAATGACAAAAACAACAGATTATGCCTCACAGGCACACTCTATGCTTAGAAAATATATTGATAAACAAAACAAACAGAAGTAATAATTTAAAATACTGGGGTACAGAATGGCTATATCTGAAAATCAAATTCCTCACATAAAAGAAAGGCTTATGTGAAAGCAGATAAAAAACAAAGGCATTAAAAATAGAGAGAAGCTAAAAAAATTGAGAAGACCTGAGAATATACAATTGTGTTTACGAAGCAGAGCATCCAACAACAACAACAACAACAACAACAAAAACAGGAGAAGTACTCAAAATTAGAACAGCAAAAATAGTTCCCTAAAATGAAAATATCCATGACGCAAAAAAATGGTAACTGAATTACAGGAAAATCTGAGACTGAACCATAGGCACTGAAATGAGATATATCCTGATTAAGTTATTACTACACAATTCGAGACAAAAGAAGGAATTCTTTGGGCATGAAGGCAAGCGTAAGTCCCTTTCAGGAGAGACAAACTAAAGCTGTCCGAGCACTTCTCCGTGGTACCAGTAGGTGCCAGAAGAATGTCTACAGACTCCTGGGGAAAGGAAGTGTCCCCCAAGAATTTTAAGTCCAGCCAAGTTATACTTAAACTATCAAGGTAATAAGTAGACCTTCTATTCTCAAGAACTTATGATTCAGCCCTCGCTGGTGTGGCTCAGAGGATTGAGTGCCAGCATTGCGAACCAAAGTGTCGCCAGTTCAATTCCCAGTCAGAGCACATGCCTGGGTTGCAGGCGAGGTCCCCAGTAGGGGGCATGCAATAGGCAACCACACATTGATGTTTCTCTACCTCTCTTTCTCCTTCCATTTCCCTCTCTCTAAAAATAAATAGATAAATAAATAAATAAATAAATCTTAAAAAAAGGAACTTATGATTCTTCTTGAAAAAATTTGTTGACCATGAAATATAGCCAACCAAGTCCTCAGAAATGAAGAAACTATTGTCAGAGGGCTGATAACAAATACACTAAATCCACTTAAGTGTAGGAATCGTGGTTATAATACAGACTGCAATGTTTGCAAACCCTGACAAGGTACAAATGAAAAATTAGAAAACAGGACATAGGAGAGGGAGAAAGCAAAACTGTGCTAATTCCCTCTTCTTATTGTAACTTTCCAATTAATCCAGTCTAAAACTAAAATGTATGGTAAAAACATACATAATAATTCCAACTTTCTGTCTTACAAAATCACTATTTTAACTTTAGAGGTATCTCTTAGGAAGCAATATTTCTTATAGTTGAGAAACATTTTCTTAAAGATCAGCAATTTGTCCTGTTATACTTCAGATTCTCCTCTATAAATTTAAGTAAGGTAAAATTCAATTCTTTAACTGAAAGTAGAATACATAGTATATCTCATGTTGTATTAAAGTATCCCTAGCCAGTTTTTATATCTGCAAATATACAAAGAAAGGTACCTAGAACAGTATTCAAATTATTATTTAAAATGATTAATTTTGGGAGGCAGGGTCAGGAGTGAATTTTTAAAGAACTTAACCCTTGTTGTGTTCTCTTTGCTTAAACACCTTATAATAGCCATGTATCACTTTTAAAAACTAAAAAGTCATGTTTAAATTATAAAAGCCAAAAAATCCTGTCATTGAATTTTTAAACAAAACACACAGTAACTATATAAACATTTATAAAAGAGAGAGAATCCAAAAGAAGAAAATAAATTACCCATCATTCCATCTTCAGTGCCTAGCAGTTAGTAATTTCCAGTCTTGGGATGGAAGGGACTTCATAAAGACAACATCAAATATTTAATAAATAGCCCCTTATATTTTCTCCCAATACTTTTCATGGTCATATTAATTGCATTTGAACATTTAATTGACCAGAGTTTACTTTGGGTTTTGGTGTGAAGTAAGAATTAATTTTTTTCTGTGTCTACTTAGCAGTGCTAAAGCCATGCCCTGAACAATCCATTCTCTGATGGCTAATCTGAAGTGCTACCTTTACTGACATAGAATTAAACAGCCTCAGGTTTGAGTACCATCTCTCATCTCATTTTTTCAGAAGCCTCAATACCCTCAGAAACGCCTGGACCACAGAGCAAACTCCCCACTCAGGTTTCTACTCAAGTGTCCCCTGCCCTGGGAAGCCCTTCTTGAGCCCCACTGTCCCCTGTGGCTATCTCCGCTGTCGCTTCCAGCTTCGTGTGAGTAGACTGACCTCCGTGAAGGCAGGCACTGCATCTCCAAGCCGTCTTCTCGGCCCTACGTTGGGTGAAGTGTCCGGCACACACACAGGCCTCCCCGGAGCAGGGGGCATCTCAAGGTGACAGTGAAGAAACAGTCCCTGGGATGTGTGTTTGTTTTTAAAACGTTAACTAGAAGTACATTTCACTTTGCCATCTCAATATCGGTGACTTGTGAGCCACTTACTTTTACTTTTTTCAACAATATTTCCCTAGGTTTATTTCCATTGTTAATTACTTGCAATCCTCGTGACACTAGGGCAGTATGTATCTTACATATACATGCCAGTCATGGATGTCTTGCTATTTCAAGCCCCGGAGTCCTACCCAGAGGACTTGGCCCTCCCCTGAGCAGACATTCCTTTAGCACAAGCACCACCTTACTAAGGCCGGCACACTCAAAGACTGGCTGGCCTATGTGCTGAAGCACGTCTCAGGGCCCTTAATCCGGTCAGCTCTGGGCAGCTTCCCAGCTGAAGGAACTGGTCCTCGAAATGGGCACATCAGCTGCTGGGAGTAATGATTTGACTTACCACTAGTGTGAGCCACAGGTTCAGTCCTTCTAAGGACGTGATGCTTAATCAACCAGCAGTGCTCTGCCATTCCAAAGAGAACACAGAGACAGAACATAGAAACACCACGGAAAGGCTGAGAGAGGCCAAAGCTAGAGACACTTCAGTACTGGAGCTGGAAGAACACAGCCAATGGTCAAGTGATGATGGCCACAGGGGTGTTCTACAAACTGGGAACAGGTGGAAAGATCATCCCCCCGAGACCATATAATATCACAGAAAAGACAAAGAGAGTTATGATAGCTTTCTCTGAGTATTTGCAAGGCTATGATGTTTAAGAGGAAATGGATTTCTTCAGTTATTTCTTCAGAGGCTAGCACCGGGGCCCACTGGGTGAAATTACAGGGAGGCGGACTTCAGGTTCCAATAAACGTGAGCTTTCTACCTGGAGCTGGTCAATGCAGAGGCAGCGTGCCTTGTGAAGCAGGTAGTTACCTGGGACACACACGGATTGCATAGAAAAACTGCCCGTCAGCATGCTATCAACGGGTTCTGCACTAAGGGAGGGTTGGACCAAATGATCTCCAAAGGTCTCTTCTAAGACTACTGGATTCTGACCTTAAAATTTAATTAGAAAAGAGTTACTCTTCAAATGTAAAAATTACAAAAAGAGTGCATTCATTATCCAGAATTTTAGCAAGTATGAACCATACCCTTATACTCAGCATTACTGGCTTTTAATAATGTGAATTTAATGATAAAAGATGAAAAATGAATTTGATCTTCCAAGATTTATAATCAGACACATAGGACTTCCTATCTTTAAAACAAGCTGGCTGAGTAAGTTAGCTGATTAACCTGGACCAGTAAGTGAATGTTAGTCACTCCAGCTTATAAAATCCAACATTGCGCAAGACCTTAGAGATGCACATGTGAACACTGCTCTCTTGCATCTGAAAATAAAGCCCCACTTAGTCTTCTTGAGTAGCTACAGAAATGAGTGCCTGGAAACTTCTAGGCATAATTCTAAATTTAATCTCTGGAGAGACATAGGTTAGAATAAAAAATAGATTCTGATTCACTCCACTCCAGCCACTGCTAGAGCGGGGCAGCAAACAGAGCCAGCCTAAGGCAGGGCAAGCGCGGCCTCTAGTACAAGTCCACAGCCACGAGGCGCTCGCCTTTGAGAGTCTGGGCGAGGGCCCACTCTGCTGATGGAATAGCATGGGCCCTGCTGCCCCAAACCTGGGGCCACAGTCAGGTTAGAACTGAACACAGCAGGCAGGAGGCCATCTTTGCAGATCCCGATGAAAACCCAGTGCTTCCTACTTTCCCCTCCTGAAGGTAAATCTGCTTATCTGGAAGCTTTTATAATTGCTTTAGGGAAAGGCAAACACAAATGATAACACTGACATGAAGAAAACAGAAGTGAACAAGAAGAGAAAGAAGCCTTTGTGCTTGTCAGGGGAAATGAGGGAGATGACGGGAAATGATATCAGCATTTAACGCGCACCACGTGGAAGAAGATAAACAGGTGCAAACAAACCAACCTGAAATTCTGCATGAACTGTCGGAACTTGTCCACCCTCCTTGCCAGGGGCACGATCACGTTGATAAGTGTGTTGGCCATGTTGAGTTTTTCTTTTTTTACTTTCATGATAGGGCCAAACGGTCGAAACAAGACCAGTCGTCTGAATTCGTGCTTGTGGTCCCCTTTGAACGTGAGCTCATACAAAGTACCTTTATCCCTTTCCGTGCGGTAGATCCCTGTTAGCAGAAACACAGGAAAAATTTCTTATCGCTGAGATCTAGCACAAAATGACTTTAAAAAAACAAATTAAAAAAAATAAAATCTCTACATCCAATAATTACTTAAAAAACTCAAAATGCTCCCACTTTAAAAAATCTCCAAAGACATCAAAATACCATTAATTTAAAATCAAAGTTATGAAGACTTCATAAAAACATGGGGGAAGTTTGTAATGTTGGGTATGGAACTATATTTAGCAGCATTAAAGAGAGGCCTGTAAGGAAATATGTCAGAATAAGACTGGCTATGTTGTCGAGTGGGGTTGTGTGTTTTTTTTTTCTTTTCTGCCACTATCTGCATTTTCTGCAATAAGATTGGATAAATGATCATATTTATTTAATTCAATTACTGCACTAATATTATTTCTTACAAATTATAGCCATTTCAGATGAACGGACCATAGTGATCTATTCAAGGTAACTTGGAGTGGCTCAGGGTCCATCCTATGGGTCATAGGGCCCTCTGGAAGCTTCTGGAAGCATTAAAACAGAGAACACTTAAAATACCCAGCACCATGACAGGCACACATCTTAATTTCAGGTTGTCCTTCCTGCCTCTGGGAAGCAGCCGAGCTCAGTGCTCCAATGGAAGTCTGTTTATGGACCAACGACCCCCCCGCCCAAGCCAAACTGTGTTCTGCCCCGTGTCACTGTTACTGAAACCCCACACAGTCTCCCTTCTCAGGCTGAAGATATGACCCAGAATCTCGGCTCAGCTCCCAGGGTGAGCCTCCCAAAGGCCAGGCCCAGCAGAACTTCCCTATCTAATGGGCGCCCAACCCCTGGCACCTATGCTCCATTGCCTTGCCAGTCATCGGTACTGTGGGCGTTTTTCCTATAGTAAAAAAATAAATAAAGGTAAAATTCAACAAATCATCAGATAAGCTTTCTCATCTGTTATCTTTGGTTTGTCATGTTTTCTCTTTCATGCCTGCAATAGCTAGAAAGTGCACCCTAGTCTTTGAGTGGCTACTTTTGCAGGTGCTTTGAAAAGCACCTTTCCAGGGAACTGTCAGCCAGGGTCATTACAGTTCTCAGGGCCTCTCCCAAACCGCTTCTCTTTTCTTCCTCACTCTCCCTCCTCTTTTCTTTGGTGAGAACTACAGGTTTCCTTCCCAAACTACCCAGTCCTCACCTCTGTCCTTTGCCTGATAAGAGCCTTTCAAACTACAACCTGTTTTACGGCCACTTTGATCCTTTTGAGTTTGGATCCCCTTCAGGTGTGACACAGAGGACTTCGGGATTTTTATAGTGCCATTTCTCACAGCTGTCCCACACCTGTCTGGAAACACAAAGTGTGCAATCCCCTGGCAGTGACAGTTGAGCACAGGTGACCGGAGGGCCTGACGCAGAGTTACAAGGACTGAGTCCTCTTCTGAAGCCTTTGTCACTTCCTTGGGTGACAGGGAAGTCAGGGAAGCTGAGAGAAGTTTGCTGCACTCATGTTGAAACAGAATTCAGAGCCCCTGCCGGGGCCATTCATGGGACAAAGGAAGAGGTTCATTTCTTCGGAAGCTCAGAGGATCTCTGTGAAAATATGAACTGGTTTTCTTCAAAGGCTGTTAATTCTCTCAGGCAACTAGTACTTGTTAAGGAATCAGGCTCTTCCCACACCGCTAACATGTCTACACAGCTGGATAGGCCACCAACTCCAGGGCCCAAGTAGGATCAGGCTGAGTCAGAAAGGAGTTGCCTTCGGTAACAGCACTTCTGTGCCACGCAACAGGCCTGCCGGGGTCGGTGGCTGAGTCTTGTCAAGCTCCTGCTGTTCACGTCAGCAAGTGTACCCTCTCCACACAGCAATAAACGTGGGAAAGGCTGCTGACAGTTTAACGTGCAGATAAAAACGTACGTGGGCCAGGGATTTTTTTTTAACTAAGTCATTTTCTTTCTCAGCACCAGAATAAGAATCATTAATTTTTTGAATCTAAATCCACAGATTTGAAAATACAAGTAGAGATATACACAAACCCGTCTCAAGAGATGGACATCTATTTATAAAGAACCCAGAGAATGAAATGTCTTATTAATAAGGATTCTTAGAACCACGTCAGATGGCTGCCTGTGCGGAGCATGCACACCCAGCCCGGAGTGACAGGCAGCAGGCGCGTTAGCGGTGTCCAGGGAGGCCAGTGCACCCAGGCCAACTCACAGCCACTGATCCAGCTGCTTTCTCACTGTCTTCTGCATCCTCTGTCCTGAAACAGTTATTACATCAACACTATTGCATATTTCCCCATACTCTGCCTAATCAAATTAATTATGGCTTATAAATCTAATTTTAGATTCCTTTAGTCTACCTATTTTAAATAAGTTATTTAAAACTCTCTTGCAACCTATGTCCACGAAAACCCACACCCAGCCATCGGCTCCTTACACCCAGAGGCACGCGCTCCTGCATGGGCACACATGCAGCACTCTCAGGCTTCTTGTGACACCAAGGACAGCACCTAACTGGACCCTTGTGCCTTCTAGAAATCTTTACTGGTGGAAACACAAAGGGACTGAGAGAAACAGGGACAGAAACATTCTGAGGCAGGAATGGTTTTAACCAATAAGCTGGCATGCACAGTGGCCAATGCAAACTGGTCACATAAACACTTCCTTGTGATATTTTATAGGATAGCATCATTTTTATGCACTATGCAAACTGAAGATCAACTAAGAATTTGGGAGCTCGCTTAAATTTTGGTTTAGACACCCTAACTGCCATCCTCTTTTCCCTTCGTTCTCTCCATGCTTACTTTGAGTTTGGTGTTGCTGCTCCCTGCATAAGCATCCTAATGCTCATCTTACCCTACTCTGGGCAGCTGAGCCCTAGAATGGCCAGCTAGGTGGGGACACCTCCCGGTTTCCAAAAGACAGCTCCATGGCCTGCCGAAAATGTTTACACCTTCAGCAGATAAGGAGCTAACCAGATGCCCCCTCTCTGCACCCTGACTTCAATGTAGGACCTCAGGAATCATGAGGTCAGGCCCTGGCTGGTATGGCTCAATGGTTAGAGCGTCATCTCATAAACCGAGAAACATTGCTTGCAGGTTCGATTCCCAGTCAGGACACGTGACTAGGTTGCAGGTTTGAACGTCAGTCAAGGCATGTGTGAGAGCCAACCAATTGATGTTTCTCTCTCACATCAATATTTCTCTCCCTTTCTTCTCCTCTCTCTAAAATCAACAAGCATGTCCTCGGGTGAGGATGAAAAAATGAAGAAGAAATCATGAGATCAAGGAGGTACCACTCCTTACGCTCACATCCTCGCCCTCACTGAACCTGAGCGTTCACAGGCTGTGGCCAGTGCTGTGCTGCTGAGCCCAGAAGTGTCTCCACTTTCATCCCTGGCCCTGCCACCCTCCTACATGGAACCTTGGTCTCCCGGTGGGACTGCTGCCATCTGCTGCACACCCATGTTCCACGCCCAGGCCCCAGTACATCCTGCACATGCCCTTTGACCCTTAGCCCTCCTATAGCACCACTATCATCCTGCTTTCCCTGTAGCTCAGGAGCCCTCACCCGGTTCCCGAACCCTAGAGAATAAAGTACCAACACCACGGCCAGCTTTAAAGACTCCCCATATTGGGCCCCCACCTACTGTCCTAACTGCAGGTCTTGCTCCTGCCTCATGTAAAAATCGGGGCTCCAGTCAAGCTGGTCGATACTGAGCACATACAACTACTTTCCTCCAGGAGAAAATGGAAGCCTCCTACAGTGCTGGTGGGAACGTAAAATGGAAAACAGTTGGGCGATTCCTCAGAAAGTTAAACACAGAATCGTCACAGGATCCAGCAACCCCACTTCTGGGTAAGTACCCAGAAGCAAGGAGAACAGAGGCTCGAACAGATACTTGTGCACACATGTCCACAGGAGCAACTTCCCAGCAGCCAAGGGATGGAAACAAACCCAACTTCCATTGACAGATACACGGATAAACAAGACATGCGATATGCATACAATGGAATATTAGTTTTTAAAGCAATGAAATTCTGATACACATTACAACACGATGAACCTTGAAAACACAAGTTACGTGAAATAAACTGGTCACAAAAGGATAAATATTGCAGGATTCCCCTTACATGAGGTACTTAGAATAGTCCAGCTCATAGAGACAGACAGTAGATTAGTGGTTATCAGGGGCTGGGCGGGGCGGGGGTGGGGCAGCAGAGCAGGGAATGGGGAATTAGTGTTTAAAGGGCACAGAGTTCCTGCCTGACATGATGAAAAAGTTCTGGAAATGGCACTGGTGATGCTTATATAACAACGTACATGTACTTAATGCCATGAAACTATACACTTAAAAATGATGAAAATGGTAAATTGTATGTTACGTGTGTTTTACCACCATTACTGCTCTCCCCTGATGAGGCTTTGCACTTTCTCCAGCTGCACTCTCCCACCAGTCCACCCCCCTTCTACCCTCCCACTTCCACCCTCCTCAATCGGACCCTCCTCCTCTGGGAAGACTCCCTGCCAGTCTCAGCCCCGAGCGATCACTCAATCGTCCAGGCACTTGAGTCTAAGGGCTTTCCCACTCTTCCTGACTGAACTACCTTTTTGGCCCAGGAGAACAGGAAAGGACAGCATGTAGTCCAGCCTTTCCACTTTACAGATGAGCACACCACGGCCCTGAGAAGCTGTGGTTTGCCTGCGTTCACCACATGCGTTCATGACTGGTGGGAACAGGCCCCTGCATGTGGGTTCACACCCTAGAGGTCACTTTTCATATGTGACTTGAATAACTCAGAGTGCAGAAAAGCAGGACCGTAAAAACCGGAAGTCCGAATCAACAATCGCAAGTCTGTAGTGAAGTCTTAGTTGGCTTACCCCCAGATAATCCACATCCACCCTCAGGGCTCTCCTTTTCCTTTAGTAACAATAGAAACAGTTGCTAAACAACCATCAACTGAATTCACAGTCTATTACACATTCAAAGCAGTGCATTTCGAAAGGAGGTGTTTTCA